AATACTATTTACATTACGGTGTACAAATAGATGAACAAATACTATGACAAACATAAATGTCAAGTTAAAATACACATACCGACTATATGGTCTCTTGTTGTCTTTAGTTCGTACAACTATAATCCAGTCAATAATCCAAGTCTTCCTTTAAAGACTTTACTCTACTGTTCGCTCGCTTACACTATGCATATGTGATATGTCTATACCTAACAGTAACTATATATATATATCAATAACAAGGTAATTAACATAAATTGCATGCATGATCCGTTTAGTTTAATTGGTAGCTACACCCGAGATGAAGGATTTCTTCGACAATTTCGAGGTCTCCGAACCTCTGGAACCTCGTCATGCATTCTTTGGTGGAAGGACTAACGCAACACGCCTATACTACGACGTCCAGCCAGAAGAGAAGATCCGCTATGTCGATTTCTGCAGCCTCTACCCATGGTATGTATCTTGTTAAAGTCCTTTAACTCAAACGTGCTTGTCGTTAACCTTCTTAAGCAATTTTTAGGTGTAACAAATACGGCGAGTATCCAATTGGCCATCCTGAGATTATTACTGAGAACTTTCAACCTATCAGTGACTACTTTGGTTTGGTGAAATGTTCTGTGCTTCCTCCTCGTGCCCTATACCATCCCGTCCTCCTTTACCGTACTCAGGGTAAATTGATGTTCCCGTTGTGTCGTACCTGTGCCAACAACCTTCAACAAGAGCCCTGCCATCACAGCGACGCCGAGCGAACACGTCATGGGACGTGGGTGACTTTGGAGCTCGAGAAAGCACTGTAGAAAGGCTACGAACTGGTGAGAGTCGACGAAGTTTGGCACTTCTCCGAGCACACGGATAGACTGTTTAAGGACTATATTGATACGTTCCTCAAAATCAAACAAGAGGTAAGGTTTCATCACATGTGTGATATTGTCACATCATTAGTTTCTTATTATTCCTTTCTCTTTTGCAGGCGAGTGGCTTTCCGCAGGGATGTGACACCGACGAGAAGAAGGGGCAGTACATCGCTGACTACGCCGCAAAAGAAGGTATTCAGCTGGATCCAAGACAGATTGTCCAGAATCCTGGTCTGAGGGCGTTGGCGAAGCTCATGTTGAACTCTTTTTGGGGTAAGTGCAATGGCAAATTGTCCACTAACGGTATTTGTTTTTCCTAGGGGAAAAACAAGTGTTTGTTAAAAACCTATCATTTCTTGTAGGAAAGTTTGCGCAACGACCCAACATGACCAAGGTCAAAATCATATCGGATCCAGCTGAATATTTTGACCTCCTATCCAGCGATCAGATTAACGTCACCGACGCGAACTTCATCAATGACGAGCTCATCGAAGTCCACTTTGAAAACGTTGACGAATTCGTGGAAGCCGATGGAAAGACAAATGTGGTCATCGCCGCGTTCACCACAGCCCACGCCCGCCTCAAGCTCTATGGTGTCCTGGAGCAGTTAAATCGCCGGGTCCTGTATTTTGACACAGACTCAGTAATTTATGTTTCAAAGGAAGACGAATGGGAGCCGCCGACGGGATCCTATCTTGGTCAGCTAACAGATGAGTTAGATGGAGGTTACATTACCACCTTTGTGTCTGGAGGTCCTAAAAACTATGCCTACGAGACAAGCACAGACAAAACAGTATGCAAAGTTAGAGGGATCACCTTAAACTACAGGACTGGCATAGCTGAGAAGCCTTTTCACAAAGGTGGGACTTTCTAAAGAAAGGAGGGACTTTCTAAAGGGACAGTCGGCTATAATAGGGACTAATGTTGGTAATTATGTTCCCATGGGGACATTCGTCTGTGCCGGGGACATCCGGGGACAAACATTAGTCCCCAAAGGGACTATCTGTAGAGGGACAATCGGCTATAATAGATACTAATGCATGTACTTTTTCCTCATGGGGAAATTCTTCTATACCGGGGACATCCGGGGACAAAAATTAGTCCCCGGAGGGACTTTCTAAAGGGACATTCGGCTATAATAGGGACTAATGTTGGTAATTACGGCCCCATGGTGACACTCTTCTGTGCCGGGGACATCCGGGGACAAAAATTAGTCTCCGGAGGGACTATTTGTGGAGGGACTATCGGCTATAATAGGGACTAATGCATGTAATTTAGTCCCCATGGGGACATTCTTCTGTGCCGGGGACAAAAATTAGTCCCCAAAGGGACTATTTAAGTTGTGGTATGTTCGGAAACATTCATTTGATAACATGCCTCGAACGCGTAAGGTCTGTCCCATGTGCGGAAAGAAAGGTTTATTAAAATTATCTAATCATTTAACCAATGTTCATAAACTATCTACTCAAGAGAGACAATCAAATCTTATTCGTGCTATGAAAATGCCTATTGATAGAGCAACGGTATTGATCGAGTTGCAAAAGATAAATAGACTGATCGAAAAGCATCTGCTTTCATTTTCATCATGTATTCCATACAGTTAAGTAAGACACGCATTTGGGCTTCTCGTTTCTGGCGGTACAAAATCAGGCAAAACCACCTTTGTGAAAAGGCTTCTCAGCTATGCCAGTCCTGTAGTTTAAGGTGATCCCTCTAACTTTGCATACTGTTTTGTCTGTGCTTGTCTCGTAGGCATAGTTTTTAGTTCGTAGGCATAGTCTTCGTTGAACAGGCGACGTTGATCCTCGGTCCAATTATACATGAAGCCATCAACAACTCCGGCAACCGGATTCTCCCGTTCAATATCTTCGGCCATCGCGTTCGTCCAAAATATAATGCGCTGTTGAAGAACAGCTTCCTTCTGCTCGTCAGTCAGAACAAACGACTCCTGAAGAAAGTCGAGTTCACTTTCAGCTTCACAAGCTTTGATAAGATCCAGCATATTAATCTAGAAATATCATAAACATATTAATCTAAAAATACATATTCAAAAACAATTTTATCCAGCCTATGACTCTGAAACTATCGTAAACATATATTCAAAACAAATACACAAACTTACCGAATGAGCCATTTTAAAAACAATCCAACGCAATCCAAAAACCGAGAACACTTCAGAACCAGAGAAAACCAGAGAAAACCAGAGACCACTTGTCAAAACGCAACAGTGAGAAATGAAACGCGTGTTCGAAACACGATATTTATAATCTCTGATAATTTGTTTGGTCGCGCTACTGTGCTGTGCCGCTAATTGATCTCATTTCTGTAATGCTAATTGATCACCTGCCACATTTGGCCCAGGCTTGCCCGCGTTAATTGGTCGCGCTACCTGTCACGTTTGGCCCAGGCCTGCCCGCGTTAATTGGTCGCGCTAACTGGTGTCATAGATTTTGCAAGTCATTATAAATTCCGCCACAGATTGTTAGCTGAACATAGTGACGTCATTAGCGGCATTGGCGGCATCCCTTTGAACTCCAGAGTGGGGGGCTTTACTACTCATTCCTTAAAAAGAGGCGACAGACTCTCTAAAAATGAGCGACAAACAACAGCTTCTGACTGGAAAAAAGCGACAAATTGCGATTTATGTTATGGGTTAAAAGTGACAGCGACATTTATTACAATGAAACAAGCGACCAAGCAGCTACAAAATAAGTGACAAGCGACCTGGGTTACACTCTTGGTGGGCCTCGTTAATGGGCTTTTATTAACGTCAACAATGTAATTGAATACAGCTGACGATATACCAAAGTATATCAAATAAAAATAAGTCTGCATCATATTATATTTTATTTCACATTAATTTGCTGATTATTATTAGAAACATATTAATATATAGATAACTAGATAAATCTACGTAAATTAAAAGAAGCCAATCAGAGGCTTTGTTTACAAACTGGCTTGTGAATTTTATTACGGACATTTGAACTTCGCAATGAATTAAGTCGAATTTATGAGCTTCGTGATCAGAAAGAAGTTCGGAACATTTGACAAAAGTTATGTAGAATCGACTGTAAGTCATAAGAACATTTTCAAAGTTTATTGGGTTCCACAGAGAGCGCTCAAAGAAGACTTCGCTATAGAAAGGTAGACATATTATTACACAAGTCATTAGCGTACTGCAGCCGTTTGACTTCAAATAATATTACGATTAACGCTTAAAAAGCTGAAGAATGACACAAACTTCAGTTAATGTACAGTATTTCACATTGCTTTGCTATCTATTTAGCTAACAAGAATATATTCAAGGCAATTCATTCATTTTGTCGCTTTGCGTAAACAGCCGTTTTGGGGGCAATTTGACCCTTCCATTATTCGCTCAAACTCTTGAAATTTTGTATGGCCCAAAAATGTTATTTCACGTATCGAAAGATCAGTCCTTGCTGAAAACGTTGGTATAATGTTCATGTTCTAATTCGAGGTATCAGTGGCAATATATTGATTTTAATCGGACATAGTCTAAAGTTGCGTAAAACAAGCGACAAGTTGAAAAATCGATAAAATATTCAAATCTAGATCAAATTCGACTTTGAGAGCTGCTACTTGTACGTTAGTGTTTGTATTTTATGAAAAATAAGTTTAAATGTGCAGTACTTTTGATTTACCAGCGTAAACAAGCTCAATCTGAAGTAGTTTGTATCGCCCTGAAAATAAGTCCGTCAGCCGTGAGAACACAAACATCGACTTCTCGTTAAAAATATTTTTCGAATCAAAGTTAAACACATATTTATATTATCAGGTCCAACTAACTTACATTTTGACAAAGTTTGAGCGATTTTGATATTTCACGTTCTGCACGACATAGGCGATATTTCCAGACAGCCTCTCTTAACTCTATGTAAAAATACCGCACTAAGAATAAACTAAAAAGCAGGAAAAACAGTAACTCAAACTAGCCCAAAATTACATTAGATACATCGACACACTTTGATTTAGCACCAGTTTTTTCGGCAAGTTTCAAACGATCTACCATAAATATTCTTAGATTTTGCGATTTACCTCATCGCGTTGTACAATCTACTGTTTACAGTTAAAGCCATATTTCAATATACAATTACTTTATGGTTTCCGTGTTTGGATAGCCTGATCCAAACACGCGGGAATGTTGCGAGAGTTAAGAAATTAAAGCGCGCGAACACGAGCCGAAGGCGAGTGATTTTGCGCGCTTTTCTTAACTCGAGCAACATTCCCAAGTGTTTGAATCAAGCCATCCTAACAGGGAAACCATAAAGTAATTGTTTTATAAAATAACAACAATACGATAGTCTTCCGTCTCTGGATGGCCTGATCCAAACATGGGTTTCGACCAATCAGAGCACGCGTTATATACATGTTATTTTATAAAGTGATATGTAAATTTTTATGGAATTAGAATAAATTATGTCCGGGATTTCCGGCCATGAGATAAATTTGTACAGTGAAACATTAACTTTGAAAAAATGCTAATCCCAGGCTATATGCATAGGCTATATGCATGTGTGGTCATCTCGCTAACCTCAAAAAAGGACAGCTGTTTGCCAAGAGTGGAGGAAGCAAAGCTTACTGAAAAAGCGTGACAAGCATGAAAGTGTTGGAAATCGTTTGACAAATAAGTTGTAAATCACTTAACTTTTCCAAATTTTAAAGAAACAATAAGTGTGGGAAATCCTGAAGTATAGGATAAGTTTTTTTATGTATGACTTTGCTACGTGTATGGTTTAAATTTATTTAAATACGATTAATAAGTTGTAGGTGAGTTTATCGGCATGAAAAAAGCACTTTAATTCCAATGGTTTGAAAAATGGATAGCGCATCTGCTGTGGTGGCCCCACCATTAATCTAATCTGTTGTGGACATGTTTAACTCTTCCTTTGTATTTCTAGTCACCGGTGGGAAATGACAAATATAGTCAAGATACGAATTTATTATCAGTAGTCTTTCTTTTTTTCTAAATTTGCCTGTAAATAACTACTAACGGGCCCGGGCCATCAAATATGGACCCCATAAGCCTCATTATGTGGTGTATAAAATGTTCTAAAACTATTTCGAAGAGGTTTTGGAAGCTATAATCACAAATCACATAGGCAAATATATTTGTTTATAGTTTAACTGAACTTAATTAAAAAGCAAACGATTAGACTGATCATGAACTTTACTGATTTATAAATCTCATCTCATTAAAATATTCTGGCTTCAAAATCGAGTTACTGAATTCAATAGGATGCTTTATCTAGTCCTTCGCCCGTATTCTAAAAGCTCACTCACACTCACACTCAATGAGTGGAGGTTCAATCTGAGGTTATCTTGAGTGTCAGTGCTGTTTTTGAATAGCTGGAGGGCGAGCAATCACCAAGTAAGGTATGACACTAGCCCCTCCTGCTATTCAAAAACAACATTGACACTCAAGAGAAGCTCATATTGAACCTCCACTCATTGAGTGTGAGTGAGCTTTTCAGAATACGGGCGCTTATTTCAGATCAGAGGTGAACATTTAAAAACGTTTTATGAAGCGTTTCCTTTTGAATTTTACATTAGAATATAAAGGCCCATAGAATACAAAGAACATACCTGCTTTATAAATTTAGTAATAGCATAGTTGCCCGGGTTTCTTTTGTTTCAACAGGGACGTTTAATCACGTATCGCCCGCTGTAGCGGGCGATTAGTTCTAATCGCCCGCTAGAGCGGGCGATTAGAACCAATCGCCCGTTACCAAGGGTCACACCTTTGTCTCCCTGACGACTACGCATTAGGCAAGTGCCTCACGCACATAATCGTGCAAGGAACAGCAACAGTTAGCTCAGAGCCGTCAATAGTCTATCATCCGATCCCTGAGTTGCCGCATCATTTAAATTACGCACGTGCAGTCTCCAAATTTATACTAATATATTTAGTGTGTTTGTTGTGGTACGTTAAATGATAGATTGCGCATGCGTAACCGATTAAAGCGTAAAAAGTGCGCATGTGCAACAAGCTTTTACATCCCACAAGCAATGAAGCAAATGTTTTAGCTTAAATACGCTGATTCCAAGTAGGGTATGTTTGTCCATTTTTAAATGGGAGCGAAACTATGCTATTACAAACTAATAGCATGGCTTTTCGGGAGATTAGTGATTAAATGACCCCTTACCCTCGGCAGGTTTGCGGAATTCCCTCGGGCTTCGCCCTCGGGAATTCCGCAAACCTGCCTCGGGTTACGGGCATAGATTAAGGAATGAATAGATGGCTCACTCTTTTGATGTTTTTGACGCTGCCGGCGCCCACGCATGTTCTTGCCAGAGTAATGGCGGCCTAGCAAGTAACTGTAGTAAAATGCATTGTAAAATTGACATCCGTGCTATTAAATCCTGTATTTTACCGCTTTTGGGGTGTTTAATGGAAAGATAAATCAGAATTATAAAAATACAGAATTTAGTAGCACCGATGTCAATTTTACAATGCATTTTACTACAGTTACTTGCTAGGCCGCCATTACTCTGGCAAGAACATGCGTGGGCGCCGGCAGCGTCAAAAACATCAAAGGAGTGAGCCATCTATTCATTCCTTAATCTATGCTTCTGAGCTACAAGGTCAAGCTGAGAACGACGTGTTAAGTTATGATGTTATTCGCATTTCGATTCATAAACCGCTACATAACGTAACACGAGTGGAATCGTCAACGTGGGAAACCACAACATTCACATACAACATTGCCAGACTAATAGCTGGCTTTACGCATTGAAGGACTAACCTCCGAAATGCGAATAACATCATAACTTAACACGTCGTTCTCAGCTTGACCTTGTAGCTCAGAAGGTAGAGCATCGTTCTAGAAATGCGAAGGTCGCGGGTTCGAATCCCAGCCGCGGTCAAGTAGAATTTTCTACTTGCCCGGTTTGGTATACACTCGTCTGAAAACAACTCATAAACCGCTACATAACGTAACACGAGTGGAATCGTCAACGTGGGAAACCACAACATTCATATATATATATATATATATATATATATATATATATATATATATATATATATATATATATATATATATATATATATATATATATATATATATATATATATATATATATATATATATATATATATGTATATATATATATATATATATGTAGTCTTTACTTAGCAGTGTATGGGATCTTGGATATAGTTACTGAATGGCATTGTCGAAAAATACAAACAAAAATAAACGTTAATATACGGTTAAATTAAGGCGTAATACACTGTGCAGTTTGTTTAATACATGCTTCTGGAAAGTATATGTTACTCAATTGGATCGCAAACTTCCTAACTAATAGACAACAGAGTGTAAGTTTCCAACCGAGTGGAAGTTTATAAATGCCGGCGTCCCACAAGGAACTAAGCTTGGCCCTCTCTTATTTTTGATCATGATCAGTGACTTGGCAGCGTCTGATGAAACTGTTAAATTTGTGGATGATACTGGCCTTTGGGAAATAATGTCAAACAATTCCCCGTCCCAGTAACCCGCTAACATCATCAGCTGCTCAGAATGGTCATCTGTCAATAATATGAAGTTAAATGTATCAAAGACTAAAGAATTGCGTGTCTTGCTTTTCTAATCTTATTCCATCGTCTGTCCCTATTACCATCTGTGCCCAAGAGTTGACGTCGTCTCTGCTCGAGGCAAAATTATTGGGCGTTGTTCTTTCAGACGATCTTAAATGGAACCTCCACATCGATTACATTTGCAAGAAAGCCGCGAAGCGTTTGTATGGTCTGCGCCTACTTAAGAGAAATGCTTTACCTTCACATATCCTGATCTCAACCTATTGACGTACACATATTCGACCAATTGTAGAATGTGCTTGTCAGGTGTGGCATTATGGCCTTCCTCAGTACCTGAGTGATCAAGTCGAAAAAATCCAAAAAAGAGCATTAAAAATGATTTTCCCTGGAGCTACCTATGCTGAATGTTTGCTTAAAGCAAACTTAATGACTAGTCTTTATGAACGTAGAACAGTTCTTTGCAAGCGCCTTTTTTCGAAGATGTTGGAACCCACTCATAAACTGGATGCGCGCCTTAGTACCGCCTAAAAATCTTCAAACTTATGATCTGAGGTCTTATTCTAACCTATTAGTATCTAGGTGTAGAACTGAACGTTTTTCGAACAGTTTCATTCCTGCTGCTTCTCGTGTTTATAATAATAAGTAAACTTTTGTCTATTAATGTATTTTTATCTAATTTACCTATTTTTACTTGTACTAGATAAATATAGAATAGATTAATTGAATATTTTTGTTCTTATATACCTTGTAATTCCAAAGCAATTCGGTTGTTACTGCTAGTTTGGAAATTTTATAAATAATAATAAAAAAACCTAAACCAATGGCGATCGACCAGCACTCTGAAAAAATGCCACAAGAGCTAAGAATGTCTTTTAAATGTCTCCGGTCAGCAATGTCTATGAATATTAACTTATAAATTATATACTAAAATTATCTAGAGGGCCGTAGTGGCCAGAACAATGCCCCAATTACCGGGGGCAAATTTATTAATAGAGTGATGACAACTATGCCCAGCAAGCACACAATCATGTCAAAATCTGAGGAAACTCGGCAAAATGTTGAAGAATCTTTGCATGGAGATTTAATGTCAGTTGTTTCCATTCTTTATTTTTGCGATGTATTAATAATAATATAGAAACAGAATGAAATGCCCAGAATGAGACTAATGCCCAGTTGGTAAACTGGGGAATTTTTATAAGTTAACTATTTCCTGGCCCCTGCATGGGCCAAAAATGACTTGTTTGCAAATGCCTGGGGGGGAGCAATAAGTATAGATCGAGTAGACTCCAGCATTACTTAATAATATGTGCCCTTGCTTGTTGATGACTGGGTACACTGGCAAAAATGGGTCATTCCGGAAAACATATGTACTGACATGACTGAGGAAATTGGATGTTAAGCTCCCACGCCCCCATGATTCCAAGTCTGATTTTTCCTTTCCCCATCAGGGCGGCAAAAATTTCCTCTGTAGGTTCTGGATCTTTTCTGGAACGATTCAATCCAGTTGCAAGACTATATTTAATGTTTTTGTAGTTTGATATAAAAAACAAAAGAGTGTTTTTGAAGAGATCAAAGTGCGAAGGCATCCGGTTGCATGACTTGCACATTGGAGCTGTAGTGAATATTCATTCAAGACAGGTAGATATGACATAACTGCATGGATTACAGTATATGGTTTTTAGTTCAAAGTCTCGGCACAAAATCTTGGCAAATTGTTGTGATGAGGAGTGAAAATCCTTAAATCCACGTTAGTTTTTAATAGGGCCAAAAAAAATATGTGGGTTTCCGGTTTCCCGACCCTACCTAGCTTTTGGACGTCGAAATGCCGACCCTAAACTTTTTTATTGGATCATGCTTGTAAGTGTTTCCACTTAGAGGAAAAAGTTTGTGGAAAATTGAAATTTGAGGCAATATTAGGGAAATTTATCTTTGGATGTGGAAGCACTGACTAAACAAAATGGCGTCCGCTTATTCGGAAAATTAAAAAGAAGTTTAAAAAAAAAAGGTTAAAACCGACCTACCCTACCTAAGTTTTTATAAGAAGAAACCGGAAACCCGCATATTTTTTTTTTTTTGGCCTAGTTGTAGTGATATTTCTCCTCCAACTTTGGATCCTTGCACTTTGTCAGAGTCTCTGGTCCGTCTGTGAAGTGCAATTTATGAATCCTTGTTACCTAATTTGATTGAGTCTGAAGCAACTGGCCGTGCAGATGGCACTCTTGCAGTCTTGCTTATATTTTAAAGCGTTGCACTGAAGTTATTGCCCCATCTCTTGCTGCTTTATTTGAGATATCTATATGTATAGAGAGCGGAATAGTTGTTTCTGAATGGAAACCTGCAAACGTGGTGCCCGTTCCTTACTCAAAAGGGACTCTCATGAAGTCATAAACTATAGGCCTGTTTCATTAGGCCCCGTTTATATGAGACTGGGATGTAGTCAAACCTGTATATTATGAAATTCGAAATTTTCAGTATGTTCATGCACATGAGACCGCGATGTAGTACGAAAATCATAAATCTTTCAATTCACAAAATTTTGCCTGTCATTTTATTTTTTATGCGGGTTTTTGCTCTACCAAATCGATACTTTTTGCTCACTACCAAAGGTCCCAGTTTAAAAGTGCATGGTTTAAGCTTGCACATTCTGTTACATTACGAATTGGTACCGATTATTATAAGATTTTGGTAATTTTTTTTGTAATTCTTGGCAAAAGACTCAGGAGTATGAGATGAATAAAACAACCGATTATATCTTTTAAAAGGTTTTTAAATAATTTTTACTACTTTTTGGTACTACATGTTGCAACAACAGTATTAAAGTTTAAACGTAAAAAAATCACGAATTTCAATCGTAACTATGAAATAGCTAACATTTACTAAATTCTCTTTTGTGCCGTTGTCATACTTGCACTTTAAGGCCCTGTCACACTATTGCGTATCGTACTACTGCATGCTCAAAAATATTGTGCGTATTGGACGTATGGTTTATACGATAAGCATACTCTAGGCACACGCTAGCTGAATACGCTAGAGGTACGCCAGATGTACGGTACTCATACGCTGGCATTTCAAAGGATTTTTGTACGTTTGAAAATTATTTCATTAATTTTGATACGCTTCTCATACGTTTCTCTCATACGCAATAGTGTGACAGGGCCTTTGGCATAGAGTATAAATGCATGGATACTAGTATACTATTTGTCGATTTATGACTTAGTTTAGTGATCTTTCTGTTGTTTATTTAGTTGACTATAAAAGATTATGCAGATATAAGTACTTCCAACCGTTTGAAATCCAAAAATGAAAAGTAAGTATAATGTTTTGGTGAAATAAAAAGTTTCTGATGAGTTTTTAGAAGCTCGAACCTTGATTAACTATAAAATTAATATATTAAAATGTATTATGCAGTAGAGGAGTGATTTCTCTTTCAGGATTGTTTTGGCTAGCTGTGCTAGTTGTTGAGCGCGGCTATAGCCACTATATATCTTATAACAAAACCAAGATTAACTACATTTATTTATTATATAGGTTTACGCAATAGTGATTATAGTTCATTTCTACTGTATATAGAAATGCACCGAAGAAAAAAGTGAAATCCATACTATATGTATGGAATTTGCAATTGCATCACTGAATCCATAGATGTATGCATGCTATATACTTTTTTCCATATATGAAAATTGGATTTCCATATACGAAGATCCATACTATTTCCTATATGGAATTTGAAAAAATAGTAAGGATTTTGAAAAAATTCCAGTGATGGTTTGTGAATTGCCTACAATTTTCTTTTTCATAAGAAACTTGCTAGCCTGCGGGAACTCCCATGGCATGCATCGCCAGGCGTAGTAAGGGACCACGCAACAAATGAGAAAAGCTTTTCACGCGCTTTTCCAGGCTTTGGGGAAAATATTTATGCAAGAAAATACGCTGATTATGCGGAAGCGGTCAGCATGTAAATACTAAATAATATGGCGCATTGCAAGGAATGAGGGTTCGATACAGACAAGTTTTTCCCCCGCTCTATTATACAAGTGAATAATCAATAATTGGCCCGATTTATAAGACCAAACGTTTCCTGGGGCTCCTTACCGCAACTTTCTCTACATTAGTGACTGTGCCTGCGACCCCTGCTGCAGCTTGCTCGGCGGCGCCACGCGTCTCCTCGCTCACCTCCCCTCTAAAGGTGAATAAATTTGAAAATCCGTCTACGACTTTATGCCTGATGATAACTTTGCAAAATGTTTCATGCACACTTAATTACATATAAACACAATGTTCCTATTTTTGTATATTGCAATAACAATTGTTAATTGTGTTCTTTTTGTGTTTAAAGGACTTTTGCAATGGTTAAACCAGATGCTATTCAAGAAGTTGGTAGGTGAAAAATATTTGACCATTTGAAAGAGTGAATTTTAAAATGAGATGGAAAACGTTTACAGCATCATCAAATGTTAATTGCTTAAGGCCCATCTACACGATACGACTAGTCGCATAGTATAGGTATACTATTCTTATCCTGGCGTATGTACTTATATGTTACTAATAAATACGTGTAAAGATGTCACATTCAGTCAAATTTCGCAGGTATAGTGGCGTCAGCAGTCGTTTACATATACGCCAGAATGACAATCGTATAAATTTCTCCAAATGTTTTGACCATAATCATCATAAATCTGCCTCGTCCACAGGCGTCTCTTGGTCTCTTACAGCGCGAACGCGAAAGGAAAGTAGATGAAAAGCAGATGGAAAAGCGACGAGAGAATGGAAAAGCGGCGAGAGAATACATTTTTCTCGCGCGCCGCCTTTTCCTCTCGATCGCGAAATTATCTTCATAATTAATAATAAAAAATTAATAATGAAAACGAAATTATATTAAAGAGACGTCTGGGTACGAGGCAGATCATAAATCAATGTGCTGTCCGCCATCAGATCTTGGATTATTGTGGATATATGCACGTTACGTCACAAGCATGCAGGGTCACGCTATTATTTTACCCAGATATGCAATGAATTGATCATTATAAGCCCAATATTATACTTCGGTCACTATTTCATCTAAACATTTTTTCTGGCGCACACATGTAGTAGTTTTATAATATGGAAACCCTGCTTTTGACGACGTGACCAAAACCACCGTTAATGAGATAAACAATTAATCCATGATGGCGTACTCTCATTGTTTTCGTGCAAACTATTTTAAAAACTATAAGCAAGGTATGAAAAAGTATGCAAGTACTTTTATCTATACAGTATATATCAGAGCAATCAATTGTGGATTTATTGTTGTATGCAGGTACCATTATTGACACAGTCTACCAGAATGGGTTTGCTATTTGCAACATGAAATCAGTGATACTCTCAAGGTAAGACAATAAAATAAATATTGTACTTATTTTTTCATCAACTCTCATGAAATGTCTTCTTTTTGTCGTGGACTCACGGTTGAGGCAGGGGCGTACCTTGATTGTACAAATCAGAAGTGTTTGAGATCGAGAAAATTGGAGAGAAAAACTCAAGCCCCCTCCGAACATTAATTTGTACTATATACTTGGCAATAAAATTAAGTTGAAGGGTTTGTATAGATCGAAATTATCGAGCGTAAAGTCCAGTTACATGCACGTCTCTGGCAGGAATCGAACTGCGGCCCTGCCCTTCCGGTGCAGCGCTCTAACAAACTGAGCTACTGGTGGTTTGATTCCTGCCAGAGAACGTACGGTATACTGTAGTTCCATTTTTCACAGCTGTTCCTGGTCAAATGTATATATATATAAAATATACGCTCAAAAGTTCCATCTACAAACCTTTCAACTATTATCCAATCGAGTGAGCCAACGTTGTTGTTGCCGAGATGTTGCCAACAAAATCTTGCAATAAAATTAAGCCCGCCCCGACCTTCCATAATTTTTCTCTATCTTGATTGGTTGTGGATATATGTTGACCAGAAACATTGTGTGGTCCGCTGTCTTGTTTTATACTTCGAATAATTAATTGGAGTTTTGATGACGTCTGTTAAAATTGATACGTCGTGGTCTAGACTTTTTTTATTGCACGTTTGCATGCCCCCAATTGCATTGTTTCCATGCATGTTTGCCTATTTTTAGCACGGTATGAAAGTTAGGCTATATACCTATATGTTTCGTGCGCGAATATATCTTTCTCTTTGAGCCCAATCACAAATCTATATTATCGCGGGTTCGATTCCCAGTCGTGGTCTCATATGCTCGTAAGAAGAACACATACATCACACGAGTAGAATCTCAGGAGAACATATGCATATGTATATAACATTTACTAATATCTTCAAAAACAAAAACGATACAAAAAAGTTTTTTGAACAACGTTCTTCCTTTTTTAGCCTATACTGCTCCATGTTTAAAGTTTTTGGATGATGTATCAATCTGAGTGTGTATGTATAGTTGACGAAAAAATAATGTTCACCACTATTTTTAGAAATGAAGCTGAAGAATTCTATAGGGAGCATTTTGGCAAGCCTTTCTTCAAGTACGTATTTACAGTAATTATATTATATAGTAATTTAGTAAACCGATATTTGGACAACCGAATTTTTTCAAGAATGGAACCCCAATCTGAATGGCACATAGTAGCTCACTGTGCCATCGATTTTCCAATGAATACGCTATGTATTTAAGAAATAGAAAACGAGTGGCGTGCGTTTTATGGTGTGATTATGCAGGAGGGGGAATGTTGGAAGAATACGAGAGAAGCGTATAGGCGAGTACTGCGCCTGAATTTTCTGGCGGGCGAAGGAACAAAAACATTATAAATTTTGGAAAATAAACTCAGTGGGGAAAAATGTTGGGAAATGACAAAAACAACCCACTCTGATAAGGAGACGAATTTGCTGCGTTTTACAAGCCGGATTTGGCACGAAAGCAGTGGAGTCCAAGGTTTTCGTCGAATTGTTTTGTTTTCGTTTTATTTCAAGATATGTCAAGTAGTTTTTATATGAAGCATTTAAGGTACTTTCGTAATGAAATTTATTTGGTTTTGTACCTTTTTTTCTATTTTTTGTGTATTCCTGTAGTTTTTAAGCTTTTTTCGGCTAGTTTCATGCGGACTCAGAAACATTTGGGAAAATCTATTTGCCTTGCTTCTCTTGTTGGCTATTTTTGCACAAATTGTTTTGCCAAGAAACCAGAGACAAACCAGAAAAACTAAAAATCAAGACAATGCATTATGGCGTTATAATGCACGCACATTAGCCAATCAAATTACGTGTTATATTTCACTTATATTATATAGAGAATAATACATGGGTGCGCGGAAATAACAGATTTATTTCGAGTGTTGAAAACAGAGACGGATTTTCAGAGACGGATTTTCATATTTTCGTTCGGGGGGGGGGGGTGGATAAATATCTGGGAGGAGGGTGCTGCTGCTTGCTTTGGCCGGGGCCTGGTGGCAACGCCCGGAAAGGCCAAGGAAAAAGTTTAACAAAATTTGTTTTCTAGGCCTGCATGACAAGATCTGAGACCATAATATTGGTAATTTTACAAATTTAGTAGTAAGAATAATCAAATATGAAACTATCAAATCAAAATATATATAATTTGCGGGGGTGCAAAAACTTTTGGGGGCGGTGCCAAATGCCTCTGGGTGTGTGTGTGCAAATCATTTCTGGGGGGGGGGGATGCGCATCCCCTCCCCCGCAGAAAATCCGTGCCTGTTTGAAAAGCGATAATTTTTACAGAAAATCGATAATTGAAAAGCGATCATTTTCACATGTGAAATTATCATAAAATAATCTCACATGTGAGATTATCAGTTTTATCAGTGCTCGAAATCTCTATATAATAAATATAAATACAGTATAAAGCAAGAGTGTCAGCGGTGAATACACTATAATGCATGTCTTTGTTATAATAAGCCCTTATGAGAGCTGAGAAGCGAGAGTTTGCATGAGAATTTTCTCAATTCTGATGATACCCGGTGATATTAATTACTTTTCATACCAGCAAAAACGCCCATCGACTCTCATCAAAATTAGACTGACGAAGCTCAGTTGATGAGAATGCATATACATGAGAGTCGATGAGAAGTCTCGCCAACTCATCAACTCTCATCCTCGTTTGACCTGGGCTTGAGTAGCCTATATATATAATGTTGAATCAAGTATAACGACCACGGTCAATTTACTGTATTGTAATAGATGATTGCATATGTTGTTATATTTTCGTACTTATGTTACAGCACTCTTATGTCTTTTATCACATCTGGACCTGTGTTAGCCATGGAGCTGAAGGCAGAAAGCGCGGTAACTCGCTGGAGATCTTTGTTAGGTATGTCCAAAATTGAACCATGCATGCTTAACAAATCCAATTTTTTTTTTTCAAATCCAATGCAGTAATAAATTTACGTGGTGTTTCCACAAACAAAAACAATTATATTTTATCGCCATGCAAACATTCAAAGAACTTATTAAATCCAATTTTGTTACATTTCACGTCACGAAAAATAAAACTGCTGATAGCTAGGATATTGTCGCAAAAATGTCATTGAAACTTGTAAAATCCTAATGATCATCGTGGCTCAACCGAAAACCGCAGAAATTAGATTGGCTCTTCACATTTCTCGTTTAAGCTGTTCTCTCTATCCTGTAAGGGCCATTCTTTATTGCTCAAGTGAGAAAACCTCTGCTTTCGAGTCTCCCCGGGCTGGAATGTCACGTTCTGAACGGTGGCGAAGAAATCATCATTGCCTGCAGTAGCTGGGCTTGGATGGATACTAAATAAATTCAAAAATTGTTCTTTTGTTTTGAAAAAACTTGTTTTAGTCTTCTAGATAATAAATGCATGCTTGGCAAATGTTTACAGTTAATATAACAATAACTATATTTGACGTCATCCTTTAATTGTTAGAGGTTCTTGCTGACCTTTAACATGATCAGGGGCCAGTTGTTCAAAGCTAGGTTACCTTTAACCCTAGGTTAACCTGAAATTCAAAGCAAACTTTCCAACAGCTTGTTTATAAATTTAGAAATATTTCTTCAGAGATCGTGTCTGAATCAGTATGGGAGTTTTCTTCTCTGAAGTTGTGAAATAAACAGACGTGTAGAAATACATAAACTAAAACAGCAGGTTAAATTTTAACCTAGGGTTAGGGCTAATCCAGCTTTGAACAAACGGCCCTTGTTGTTTGGTAAGACCAGTGTGTCCAGGGGCGGATCTATAGCATCATCTGTAAAGAGGGGTGCAGGTTTTTTATCGGCCGGTTGTGCACGAGGGAGCCTTACTGCCGATTCTTCTGTGTAATCTGCAACGCTACTATCCCAACATTACAATCATTTGAGATGGCCGAATCTGCATATTCGCCGTTCTTTTACGTTTTACATTATCTTTTCTTTATAAAGTTTATATCGGCTTTTTATCGCGTATGCGTGACTGCATGGACTGTTGCTGTAGCACAGTACAGTAAATTTGCTTGTTAAAGTACTGTATATTTCAAATGCATGGCTGTATATAACGACCTCGTCATGTTTACATATTTAACATTTAACATGTTATTTATCACAAATCAATTGAATCGTTTCAAGAAATCGAGAACACACGCTAACAGTAGAAGTTCCGCTGATCGCTATTCGAAAATCTCAGAAAATGTATGGGGTGCTGGACTTCTCCAGAGGGGGGGGGGGCTGCTAGACACCACTAGGTGGGCTGCGCACCCCCTTGCACCCCCACGGTAGATCTGACCCTGAGTGCGTCTATAAGATAGCCGGGCGGATAAAGCGGCAACAGAAGCTACTGAAACATGTGTGATGCGCTTCAAGGCCTGGGACTAACTCGGCTACGTTTTCATCACTGACAAGAAAAAACCGGTGCGAAATTCAAAGAAACTGATTAAATATCTTATTTTGTCGAAATTATTGAGTCAATGGTTGATATACTGTACTTCTGTTTATTTTGTTAACCATGTAAGTAACACACTAATCTTTATTCCTTTCAAATCACAGAGTAGGAATTTTGCATTGGCAAATTCTAAGTTTTTAAGGATTCGTAAGAAATGTTTTAGGGAACTGACTCAGTGTTTAACGGCGACCTTTCGTATTATTATTATTGATCACTCTTCATTTTGCAGTTCCGGCTCTCACTTTATGTAATTATTAAATACCTTACACTGTCACCAAAACTTTGCAAATCCAAGGACGGCAATAACCTGATCACTTTATTTTGGTATTCCTTTTACTGTAGGTCCAACTGATTCGAGGGCGGCACGAACTGAAGCACCAAGTTCTCTTCGCGCAAGATTTGGATTTGGTATGTCACCATTTGTTATCAGTTATATAGTAAACCGGAGCTTTTTTATCTGTCTAATTCAGGCACATCGTCATCAGGTCGAGCTAGCTCGGTCACCCATGACTTAGGGACCGGTCATTATTTATGGCGGGGGTCGCACCGAAGAGAAACGTTTTTCTTGGCCCACCCCTGACCAACAACTTCACAAACGGATTCCATTCAGTTGTGGCCATACATGAGTTTGATAACTGCGTGTGCAATTTCATGTTGTTTGTACATGTTCTTACTCATTTGCCTCCTGGTAAATCGGAAAATAATCAAGATAATGACTCTGATTGATTGATTGATTGATTGATTCATTGATTGATTGTATTGACATATGACTGTTGGCATTGCCTTTTAGTCGTCAATATTTGAATGCGTCATGCTTTGGGAGATGACAATAAATGTTTATTACCCAACCCTTGAGTTGTTTTGTTTTTCATTTATCCAACCTTTTACTTACCGTACTCAAAATTTTGTTCGCCAAACCCTTTTCTCTTCGGTGCCACCCCCGCAATAAGTAATGACTGACACCTTTGTCACCAGGAGATAATCTGTGAGACAACAGTGTTTACATATGTTTATGCTTGTCCACGTACCTGCATGAGTGCACACCCTAGGCCTGGAAAAAATAATCTCCGTCTTAGTTTCTGTTACTAATACCCAGCCTAGACCTACATAGGACATTCACTGGGCAGGCGACACTTGATTTGCAGGTTAACCTACTTCAATGACGCCACGAGATACCGTGTAAAGTCCTAGTGAATTTCCAAATTCCGCAGAATTCAAAATAATATGGTTTATTTACTTCGCAAGAGAATCTCCTGCATTGTTTTCGCCATTGCCTAGGTTCCATCCAGTCTTCTCAAACGGGAATGCACTGAAATATAAATACAGTAGAAGGCCCTAGGGCTAGACTGCAATATTCTGTCCATGGTTTCCAATAGAATTTGGAATAGGAGGCTTTTTGAAGGGTGTAGGCGGCTATGTGGTTATTGTGATTGTGGTGCAGAAGATACTACTTGCCTGAGGGGGGGGGGGATTCGAGGGCGTCGTCCATTTTCACTTCAACTAAATGGTTTGGTGGTCGGATACTTTTTCCACCGCTGGCACACTCGCTATGATGAAGTGTGCCACCATGTTAATCTTGTGTCTTAAGCGCAGCTTGGAAATGTCATACATGCTTGCCATCTACTATATATATGACCACGCCATAATCATAACTAGGAAATAGACCCTTTTTTAGTGCCATTAATCGCTGTCACTACCGGCAGAGCGACACAGTATCCCCTATAGCATTTAGTTTATACTGATTAAAGATTTGTGACAGTATAATTAGCTTTTTTTGAACAGATAACACGAAGAATGCGTGTCACGGATCTGATTCTGATCAGTCAGCGAATAGAGTGAGTATTTGACCATGCCATTGTGACTTAATCTTGGGTTATTTTCAAGTCAGGATATTTATAGACTTTTTCAACGTCTTTTCCAAATGACATCATTTTTACTCAAACTTTCCTTGCTTGCTGTTAAAAATTAGGAAATATTTCTGAGGCGGACTTATGGTAACTATAAGATGTATAGATTTTATATACTGTATACCGTAAATTATTTATAAGTAGTAGCACGTCTTGCAAATTGAGGGAAATGAGCGATTAATTTTGCCCAAGGAATAGTTATGACTTTCAGAAATATTGCAATTGCAGAAAACAAAGGGGGGATTTAATCGCCAGGTGCCTGAATGTTATGTACTGTTTAATAAACGAGCAGGAGTGTTTTGTTAGGTTTAAAGCCACGAGCGCGTCGCGCGAGTGGCTTTAGACCTAATAAAACACAACCTGCGAGTTTATTAAACGGCTTCAAACACGACTACAAATTCAATAGATATACTGCCTTATTAGTATACTTTATATGAACTTATAAAGAATACTAATGAGGACACGACTACAATAGATACTGCCTTATTAGTATTCTTTATATAAAGAATACTGCAAATAGGAGTGTTTTATCAGGTTTAAAGCCACTGCACGTGACATATTATGGTTGACATGATTTGCCAATAAGCTTATGAATTATTAATGAGTGTTTGAATGGTTTGTTACACTATGATCTACGAGGAAAACTTTACCCGGAAAATTTGCATGAATTCATGTTAGTATTATATGTCATATTCTGAGCATGTATGCAAGCAAACTGTGGTGCAAGCTAAACATGATCCCATGCACAATGATTGTGGTCGAAGTGCCTGTAAAGTTTTTTTTTTACCCGAGAGGCACGGTTTTACGCGAAAAACCATGGGTGGAAGATATACAACAAGCAACGCCTGCCCCCTGATACAACCATGGGTGGAAGATATACAATAGGCAACGCCTGTCCCTCCATAATAAGCTGCATGAAACTGTTTATTAAGTTTAAACAAAAATCCAGACCATAATCCGCGGGTTTGTTACCCCATGAGAATCGCTCTTGTTACAACTTGAGAAAGCCGCATGAACTGGTTGTGCCACGCTATAAACTACAATTTCAGGTCTTCAAAGTCTTTTTTTCCTCCACAGCTAGGGCTTATAATTGTAAATAGTATAATAATATTTTATATATATATATATATATATATATATATATATATATATATATATATATATATATATATATATATATATATATATATATATATATATATATATATTTTCTTTTTAACTTATGCGTAAATTACGCAATTCGGCTTCATAATGGCCGCTATGCAATTTCTCATTAATAAATCTAATCTAAAGCTGTCTCCTCTTTAATAGGGCCCCCCTCTCCCATGAGCTATCCCCTCTCCAACAGGTTATCTCCTCTTCAAATAATATCTCATATTAATATTGATGTGTTTATAATTATACAGGAAACTGATTTCTTTTTCAAATCAAATGCTAAACGACAAAGCACGGCAAGATTTGCAGACTGCACACTCTGTGTTATCAAACCTCATGCAGTCAAGGAAGGTAGCCCATTACGTTTTAAAAAATATATTTAGTATGCCTCATTGTGCCTTCCATCCACGGGTGTGTCTAAAAAGTAGCCTGCATGGCAGGCCCTCAATTTTATGGGGGGGGGCCCTGATTTGCAGCGGGCAGGATTTTGGCATGAAAGGTGGTCTTTCCTGCAGCTGCCAAAATCCTGCCCGCTGCAAATCAGGCCCCCCCATAAAATTGAGGGCCTGCCACGCAGGCTATCTAAAAAAAGAATGTGAACCACTATACACTTCAGTCGTCTTGATTCTATATATGCAAGATTCATTAAATTATAGGATTTTTCAATTACGCCAAGTGAGAATTAACCCGTTGAGCGCTAGTGCTCTTTCCTTGACCGGTAAAATCGTCTGGCGTTATAGACAGAGTAAGATAATAAAGTAGGGCGCATTTGGGCGCAATACAACTTAATGGGTTAAAGACTTTAATGCATGGTTTTTATACAAACCTCGTGCAAACCCTGCTGGGCTGTCTAATTAAAAGGCCTTTCGTAATTATTGGGGAGTGAGCTGTATAATCTGTATATTAACTAAGCACTATGATCTTAAATATTGTTGATCATGTTGCTATAAGTTAAAAATTGGAGGTTTATCCCTTGAGCTTTGGCGACGTCATCCACCACAGAAACATCGGCTAAACAAGATTTGTTTTTACCAAGCATCATGCATGCACACTCGAAACAAGTTTTCTATCCAGACTTACTCGTTATCTATCTAAAAATATATTGAATTTATTGTTTACTCCACAATGACTTTTATTTTTAAGGGGTCGCAGGAAAGATTCTCATGGCCATCCAAGAAAATGGTTTCTACTTGAACGCTTTACAAATGGTTAGAAAATTATATAGTTTACTATACAGTTAACCGTAAATTATATACTTTATTGATAATTCATGTGAAAAGAATGTTTTACAATAATATCATGCAGTTTTCTCCAGATATTCGCATTCAACAATAAAAGAATAATATTCCTAAATTTAATGACATAATTTTTTTTTTCATTTTCAACAATTATCTTAAGTATATATACGCGTATATATATCCCTAGAGCATACTTTTCACCTAAAATAATATTTTTGTGGTGTGAAAGCAAAATGAAGAACGTAGCACCGAAACTGATTAGTATAATTTTTTTAAAGAACTGAAGATGAAACTTACGGAACATTATACAAATAATGAATGTTTATTCGTGCAATGGTAAGAATATTTTCATTCGGTGAAAGATGGAATGTTCCATTCAACGAGGCGACAGCCGAATTGAATGGAACATTCCATCATCACCGAATGAAAATATTCTTACCATTGCACGAATAAACATTCATTATTTGTTTTATATAATACCAAAATAGACTAATAGATTCGTATGAGAAGCATTTTGACGGATGCGATTTATCGAAAACACAAAGAGTACAATGGAATAAAACGTATAGTACAATTGCACTCGCAAAGAGTGCAATTAATAACGAATTCCATTGCACTCTTGGGAAATGGAATTTTGTATTCAATATCACGTGACCATAAACAGCCAATTAAACGATCAGAATTCAATAAGGTATATTACATAAAAAGGCATATAAAAGCATTTGGGTTACGTTTGTCATGCATTTAGTACTATTTGCACTCATACAAATTAACAAGACATTTCAAACGTAGTCGGTATAGTTTGTTGTCAAGATCTTAAACTCCTTATTTTATGACCGAACAAACATGCATGCGCAAAGGATTTCAATTTCTTGCCAAACGGTGCGGTAAAAATGTGAAATAGTAAAAGTGTTCAAAGATTTGAGTGCGGAGTTATATTCTTAATAATTTATTGAATATGTTTATACATTTTATTAAATTTCCATTTCAGTTTCACATGGAAGTCGCAAATGCACAAGAATTTTTTGAAGTCTATAAAGGCGTTTTGCTCGAATATAGCGTAAGTTACTGTCCAACTGTTATTTGGTGGAAATGGTGGGGGTGGTGGAAAAAATTTAAGGGAGATGCGTTGGTGTAGCTCAGCCCCATGGAATGTTAGGACTTAGAACTTAGGTCTTGACTCTAAACTTACACATAAAAATTTGGTCAAACTTCACTTTGGTATATCATTTTTAACCTTCCTCACTGGGAAGTGCATAACTTTTAAAGGGAGGTGCAGAATGATCTAGGGGGGGGGGGGTTGGAAAAGGCTTAGCATAATATCAAGAAGTATCCCAAGAGAAGTATCCAGTACCGACCAGGTTCAAACCAATCATTGTGTGACCACAATAAGTAATATGGTGGACTGATTTGTCGATGTACAGTATGAGATAATTAAGCCGATAATACAAAAAGGTTTCAAAGCTGCAACTTTTTCCATGACTGAATTTCTCCTGTTTTTTTTTCAACTTTAGAAAATGGTGGATGAACTATGCAGTGGACCATGTATTGTTGTTGAGATATGTGGTGAAGGTGATGTTCATAAAGCGTTTCGGGACTTTGTTGGACCTTCAGATCCGGTACGCTTTTGTCGGAATAAAGTAATTTACCGTATTTCCTCTATGTGGCTCCCCATTCTAATTAGCCCCCTGTCCATATGGTTACAACTGACGCGGCGGAGGAGGGGAAAAGGAGACAAGGTTGGCAAAGTCCATAGCCAAGCTGCACGAATCATCATAAACAAAGCCTTCTAAATCGAAATTACGGAAAACTTAGAAGGCTTTGTGTATGACACGTGGAGCTTGACTATCGGATCTTGCCAACTTTGTCTCCTTTCCCCTCCATCGCATCGTCGTGAATTTTACTGCAAAAAGTCAGAATATCTTTGAGAATATCTTTATATACCAAAGATTTAAATATAAATCGCAAAGTGTGTCTGGGATACTATCATGGTACCAACTGATAGTTCTTCTGTCTTTATCAGGAAGTAGCTAAACACCTTCGTCCTCACACATTGCGTGCTAAGTTTGGCCTGGACAAAGTAAGGAATGCAGTTCACTGTACTGACTTACCGGACGACGCATGTTTGGAGGTAAGGCGTTTTTAAGTTATTTCTAGGGTATATAAAATTTGAGTAGGAGACGTTAATTCAAGACTTTTACCTGCACGACTGGTATACTCTAATAACTATTGTCGCGTACTTAAGCTGGTACAAACCAGGGCGCTATAAAACAGGGTGTTTTATAGCGCCCTGTACAAACTTAATACTCAAGGTCTACTTGGTCTTTAAGATGAACAATATAAAGTACAGGTTTCTGAGAAGATTCGATTGATGTTGCGGATAACGCTACTTTTATAATCCGCCATTTTGGCGAGGATTTTGACTGAGAAGAGTTGAGGACATGTATGGTAAAATCAGGATTACAATAGACCTTCTTATAATGACGTCAAACGCGGAAAACCAATTTACGCAGTGTCCCACAGGACACTTTTAGCAACAATTTAACGACGATCGCAATGCAAGTCGTTGGCGAGCCAATAAATTTCATAAATGATTTTAAAAATTGTCCCTTGGGACGTCAGCATTATTAAGTGTTTTTCCGCGTTTGACATCATTACAAGAAAGGTCTATTGATAAATTTGATGAAATTGTGAACGCTATCTTTTACAGGTCGAATATTTTTTCAATATACTGAATCAATAAATGTATACCGAAAAACAGAACGTTTCAACATCAGTGATATGCAGTCATCGTGGATATGCAGCCAACATTCATTTTTCTTCCTTTATAAAATTAATGTAAATCATAGTAATTCATTGCATGCATGCACATAGCTTTTATTGTAAATATTGTTATTGTTTCACATATGATGTACAGTTTTATTGAAATAAAATGTATTGCAAGTTAAAATATGCCTAGAATGCTTATTGCTAATATGTTCGAACTAATAGGGGCGAGCATTGGCCCCTTTGTCAAACTTGGTTATTATTTGACCATCTGAAATTTATAGTTCTGCTGACTTCCACTCTTCGCCGCAGAAACTTGCACGAAGTTTCATAAAAACGAAAGAGAACAATGAATGACATGAAGATATGTTAGAGAAGTTAAGATGCCCCGGTTTACGCGGATACATGCGATATACACGTATCCACACCCGTAAACCGGGTACGACTTGCAACTTAAGAAATCCAAGATTTTCCGAGGTAAAAAAAACGATCGGAGAATGCATGGTAACTTTCGTTGTTGAGGTTCACCATAGATTTGGGAAAATTGACGAGCATATGTGCTTTGATTTATTTAGTATTGAAGTATTTCACTACTTAAAGTGCATATGACATGAAAAGTTTTATCTTTTTAAATAAAAGAACTCTTTAAGCTGTAGTGTAACTTATTTTTCAGTTTCTTGTTTTTATGGTTTGTTCCCAAGATATTTCAGTTTTGTTTGATATGTAAATAAGTATGAATATGTCCGCTAATTTATGACGTCACTTTGGTTGCAAGCTCGATTGGTTGAATATCACTGCTATCATCCAAGATGATAATTTCAAACTTCACTCACTGGTAAATGTGATGAAACACTGGAAAAAAACGTGAATTGATATCTACAGTTTTTGCTGCCGTAGGCAGCCACCTATTCTTGACGATGTGTTTTTCTCGCACCAGTCCGTTTCCGGTTGGCCGAGTTATGTATAGCCGAGCGACAACTCGATTTTATTTGCATGTACGAATGTACGGATGATCAGATTTATGACGTATTTTGACGTCATAGAAATTTTAAAAAATAACATACTCCAGATCGCGATTTGACTTTCCGAATATCCCGGTTGAACCTCGCGAACACCACCATGGACAATGACAATTTGTAAACACGTTACATGTACGCATAATGGCCTCTGTATATGGCATAGTCTCAGCCTCGTACCCAGGCGCAAATAACGTACTAAAAATTAGCAACACTACAGTGTTTTTATATAGATCAGTGGCTAAGAGAGCGAGCGCGCGGGGGTGCTAGGTCAACACACGACGGGAGCACCCCCGCGCGCTCGCTCAGCCACTGATCTATATAAAAAAACTGTAGTGTTGCTGTTTTTTAGTACGTTATTTGCGCCTGGGTACGAGGCTGGCATAGTCTCATCGCAAATTGTCTCTGACTGTTAAATAAAATGCTTTTCAAGGTAAGATGAAAGTTTGATCACAAATAACAATGTGTATTGGTCGATACGCGTTGAAACTTGAAGCGAATGAATTAACTGTATTTAAATTATTACATTTTTAGGTGCATACAAGTCTTCATAGTAAACAAGTGGACTTCGTCGATATTTTATATCAGTTTGTAAAAAATCTGATTGAGCTTGATCGTAGGCTTGATGGAACATCGTACTTCTAAGGGATAAATAATCACAGAGAGAGTTTATTATTGTTATTGTTATTTTGGCAATATCAATTGAGGCATTGAGCAGTATCGTAACATTGTCTGTCTTGCACAAAGATAGTCCTTTTGCAACCCATGCAGTGTGGATTGTTGTCTGCACATATTAACTTACCAGCAGTTACATGTAAATAACATGTCAACCGACGTTTGTAAAAGGTATGACGGTCTGTAAAAATGTATCTCCGAGATATGTCCATTGTTTAATAGCATAATATGAAATAATCCTACCAGCCTACATTTATATATTCACCTGGCTGTCACTACAGTACTCAGAGACAGAGTATACTATATTTTTTGATAATGCTCACAATCGTATTATATAGTTTTGCAGTTCTGATTGAGTACAATCTTAGGGGCTGATTACATGGAGAGTTTTCAGCCTGGGCTGAGTTTAAGGAGCCGATTACATGGAGCATTT